GCCAATAGCTGTATGCCTGACATTTTATCTACATTATATTGAATCGTCTCCATAATCTTGCAAGTTGGGGTTAAATATTACCTACTATTTCCCAGATGAGAAAACTGAGATGAGTAGACCAAAAACTCACCGTCTCAGTTGAGTAGGTTCCCATTCCCAACAACCTGTCAAGACAGTGTAGAACTGTCCCATCGCTTCCATGGCTGCCTGTCTGTGGAAGGGGACTGACGCCTCTTTCTCCCATGGAGCAGGTGGGGGCTCAAACTGTCATAGTTTGGGTTAGCACTTGAGAGTTTAACCACTGTGCCACCAGAAGTTTAAGAGATAACAAAGAGTCCGAGGAAACAGGTAATTTGCACAACTTTCCCATGAAAATAGGAGACTAAATCAGAGGGGAGGGGAAATAACTTAGCATCTCTCTTAGTTGGTCAGGTCAGGTGCAAGCCACCAGACATAGAAATGTAGCTGGAGGCTTGAGTTTCTCCTCAAGATGGGAAACTTTTTGAAGGGAGAGAATTGTTTGCTTTGTTTTCAAATTTATAATGAACATATCATAACACTCAATGGTTCAATCATATCAAGAAGGGCTGTGCTGTCATGGTCACAGTTTTGTTGCTTTTCCCCCTTTCTTTTACACACTGATATTGATCTTCCCCCTTTCTCCCCTCCCTTCTTGTTTCCAGATCCTCACCAATCCCATTATATCTTTGTATTTCCATGTATCCCAGTTCCCCCAAACAGATCGCTCACTGTACAAGACTGCACTGCACACTCACTGCACACGCCAAACAGGAGTCCGTAAAAATAGCCTTTCGATTGAGAGACCTCAATCCGATAGAAAGCAGAGAATAGAAGTTTAGAGTCAATTCCCATTAGGTCCAAAGGGGGATCATATCACAAAATGTGACATTGCGGGCTGGGTGCAGTTGCTAACACCCCTTTACAACGCTCGCCCTCTGATTTGGCGGTTATTGTCACTTCTAACTGATGTGGATTGGGGAGTCACTGGAAGTTCATACCATGGAGGTCCCCTGTAATGGATTTTGAGCTACCATGCTTGTCCACAGTTTTCCACAATCCGGGTATTTAGGATTGGGCTAGAGGTCTATGGATCACACAGGTTGGTGTGCTCCTTCTGTGTGGATTTAGCTGAAACCTTGCTTAGATGGCTGCTTGTTTTAAGACAAAACAAGGCTGGGACTTTTGAATTTACCTAGTGTGTCTTGGACACCTAACCCCTCTCTGGCTCAGAGTGGGGGCTCAGTAAATTGCACAAATGAATTAGTTCAAGAATCTGCTTTCTGTAAAGCAGGAAAAGGCTAAGGGCGCTGTCTTGATCAGGTCCTCCTTTTGTCTGGGTCGGCATCGACTCACCGGCAATGAGTTTTTGTTTTGTTTTTTTTTGTTTCAATTGCTTGGCAAAGCTCTTAGAAATCGCCTGAATTCTTCTGGACATCTGCAGAGTAATGAAGTAGAAGTTTACCCAATTCCACAGATCAATTTCTAGGCAGGGATTCGCCTCACAATATCCCAGTGGGGTTAACACAGCTTTAAAACCCACCACTGTTGCTGGACTTGTGAGGAGTGACCTGAAGCCAAGAAATACTCTGATTCCACAAACTTTCTCTCGGCATTTCTTTTTCTTTGTGAAAGCTAACCAGGCGGTGATCAAGTGCTGTGTGCGGAGAAAGGTCAACAGAGCCCTCTAGAAAGCATATAAAACAGAGAGAGGGCACAGGGGGAGAAAACTTGGGGAGAAGGTCAATAGCTTGAAACTTTGCCTATCTCCTGCCCAGAAGGCAGGCCCTGAACCCATTTCCTTCCTTTGCTTGCTGTTTGGGGCAAGGTTGAGTTAGCAAGCTATAAATTCCACGAGCTTAAGAATGAGGAATGTGGAGATGAAGGTGGAGAAGCCTTCATTCCAGAGGAAAGGGCACACCAGTGGGCCAGCTGGAGGTAGAAGACAGAACATATCCCAAGTGTGAGCCAACTAGAGATTTGACCTTAGAATCTGGGCTCAACCTGCCACTGGGTTATAAGAGCTCTCAGGGTAAGGGGATAGGGTTGTCAAGTTGTTGGAAGAAAGTTAGTAGAGACCTGAAGTGACACAGCACTCATTTGCCAAGAAAAATTAGTGGCATATTTATCTGGTCATTGGAGTCTGTATCTCCCTGGCAAAAAGAAGCATGTATGC